CTTGTACATTTTATTTTAAATAAAATGTGTTGTAATAAATTGTATAAAAGTGATGAGTTTTGAAGAAAAGTAGCATGATTTATGTTGAAAATTCCTAAGGGAATGGTTGATTAAATTAAAGAACACCAACGGTTATAAAGAGGTATAGACTTGTGTATTGGCATAGGATTGGCAAAAATGCAAAGAAAGGAAAATAAGCGATAAAATGTATGCTTATGAAATAATTATGGTATTGCATCATTTTATTGATGCATTGTAAATTATTCTCTAGGTGTGCCTAGGGATTGAGAAGGATCGGAAATCTCTTGAAGTGATAAAAGTAACTTGTTCCACAAGTAAGCGTATTGGTAAAGCTTCAAGAGGTAAGCTCTATGTTTAAGGAGTCTTTTCCTGCTTGAGTGCTCCACCATGGTTAGTGAACTATGGTTGGACTGTATGACTGTGATTTAGATGCTTTGTATAGATGCATTCATATAGAGTTATTTGATAACATGATATGTTTTGCTCTGATATGACTTCTGTAATATGATTTCTGTAACAATCTCTGGCCATTGATTGTATAGTACCCGGATGTCCGCTTTGGGGTCCTCCCTCGGGACTGATGGTGTACGCCTCTGATATGTCTGGTTCCGCTTTGGGGTCCTCCCTCGGGAACACGTGCGTTGATTTCCGCTTGGGGTCCTCCCTTGGGAATGACGGCGCACATCTCTGATATGATATGGATATATGCTCTGTTCTGTTATGATATCTGTTATATGTTGTATTTGTATACTCTGTATCTGACTTTCATGCAGGAGTGAGCCAGGGGTATGGAGAATTCTCTATAAACCTGGAGCTTACTGAGATTTGTAATCTCACCCCTCTTTGGGGACATATTTTCAGGTGCCCAGATTCCCAGTGAGTCCTCACTAGGCAGGGACACGACACGTGGCTGAGGCAGTTGACAGACCGGATTTTGAGTGGCTGTAGGCTACTACCTTTTTGGAGTGATTGATGTATTTTAGTATTTTCGCATTTGATGGATCATGATATTGATCCTTTATTTTGTATATGGCCTGTATATGTTTTGTACACGTCTGTCGCTTTGATGCATGTACATTTGGGTATTCAGGCACGTTATGTGATGAGGTAGTATTCAGATATGTTTACCTGTTGGATTGCATGCTGTTAGATATAGTGGCACTGAGCCAAGTTATGCATGCGCCCATGGATGGGCATTTGATTATATTTGTATAAACTGTTTATCAGGAAATGCTTCTGTGAGGGATTGGAAAATCCCCAGTTGTCCGATTTATAGAGGAAACTCTGCCCGATTTTCGTTCACGACGAATGAGAATTTAAAAAGAAAAATAAAAAGTTAGCTCGTATTTTCAGAAGTTAAGTCTTCCGCTGTTTTCTGTTTTATCATATGTATGTTAATTGAACCGGCTCGAGACGGGAATGTTACAACGTGTCAACACCAGATGATTCACGCCTAAATTAGGCGTGAATGCCTTGGGAGTCACGCCTACTTTGGGCGTGAATTGTCACGCCTAATTTGGACGTGAATGAGTGCAATAGATTCGTAGATAGTTTCGAAACAGCTATGTATTTGTAATTATTTATTCAAATAATAATATTTTAATTTTTTTTCCCAAATATTACTAAAGTGGGAAGAGTCATCATCATATTATATGTGTGATACATGGATGTCATTCATTCGTAAGCTTCTCTAAAGGCTTAAGCAATGTTATAAAATCCGACCCAGTTATTGACTCGGTTGGCTACCGAGTTATTAAGTTATTGATTCAACCAGTGGATTATTGGTTAACCGTTTGAACCAGATTGATATATACATATCTATATTTCATACAAAATTTTAAAAAAAGAAAACGTAATATGACTTAATATAATTTAACAATTAATGTTATATTAATTAATTATTTAATAATATTTTATTAAACTTTTTAATAAACTTTAAATAGATAAATTAATTATTAATTATATATATAAATATGGGCAGTTCAAATGTTAGACATGAGCCCAATTCAAATTGTCTATGGTAACAATAAAAGCACAACTAAAAAGTATAAAAATTAAAACAAAAAAACATACAATTTTCAAAATTCAAAACTAGAAAAAAAATTATTAATAAAATTCTAAACCTTTCACTCCTTACATTATAGAGCAATAACAACTATTTTAAAGAGCAATAACCCATTAACTCACTCACTTTCCTGTATTACAGTATTTCACTCCTATTCCACCTTTTGTTTCAGCTCTTCTTTCTCTTTCTCTTCAATTTTTCACTTCTTTCTGTGTCTCTTAGTTTATCACATTTTCTCTCTTCATTTCACACTTTTTTTTTTCTTTCTCCATTTCTCCTCTTCTCTTTGTGGCTTTTTTCACCAATTTCTCTCCTTTGTTGATTTATTTTTTTTATCTCCATTTCGGTTCCCCGCCAAAAAAACTACAAAAAATGAGTCTACTTTAGTGAACTAGTGGATCATCGGTTTTAATAAAACCCATCCGAGTTACATGGGTCATGTCGGTCTGGCTTTTACAACATTGGGGTTTAGGTCACAACCCGACTTTGCATACGGTAAGGCACACCTTCTTATACGCACTTCTTAGATAGTACACAAGATTTTGAATAACTTGACGTATAATTGGGCCGTCTCTCTTGACAATTTATGAGTCACAACACAAAGCTATGTTTGAACTTCAAGGCTAGACGCCACATATCTTAATGGCTGTGACTGTGAACACATTTATAGATAGATCCCATCAAAGTGAATCGTGATTCTCACGATGAAATTTTCTTGCACTCAACCAACATCATCATAACCAATAATTTATCCTCTTTTCGCAAAAAAAATAAATAAATTGAAATTCAGTAAAATAGTAATTATGTCTTTCTTCAAGTCTTCATCACTATCAACTTTAATCTATTACTAAATTTTTTTAAGAAAAAATACTAAATAATACAAATAAATTTTTAAAAAACGACTTATAAGTAAAATACTATAAAACATAAAAATAAAAAATATATTTTATTAGTTATTGACTTATTCTTTTAACTTTGCTGTCTTTTTTAGTTATTGTTAATTATTTAAATGTTTGTAAAATATTTGTCACCAAACTTTCATATTAAACAATATTAATGATAAAAATGTATTTTATAAAATATCACGTCTTTTGTAATAAATACGTAAATGATAAAATAAATGTATTTTTGAATTATTAATATATAACCTTAAAAAAAATCTTAATGACAATAAATTTCGGATAGGTTATCCCGTGAATTAGGTAAAATTTATTCGCATACTTAAAAATTAACTTTACCAAATGATGATAACTCAGTTGGTATCTGTGAGTTGAGTAGGTGAGGTGAAATCATATATTTGATCCTTCTCAATATCATCTTTGAAAAGAATTTAAAGTCTTAATCCTGAACTCGCGCAGAACAGAATTGCATTTCGTAAAGGATACATGTGGTTTATCTTAAAAAATAATAAATCAACCTTAAGTGTGAAAAATCTCATGTTATTTGACTCTAACCGAACTTATTTTCATTTTCTTAGCACATCCATGAGTTTCCCATCATGTAATGGGTTTTTCCAAAATATGCACTCATCAACCATAAACAAGCCAAGCTAGTTTGTGTAAATTTGTTCAAAAGATGACAAAATGATGCATTTGTACACCCACTTACATGTTCAAGCTTGTTTGCTTTATAAGTATTATAACGTTTCCTAGTGGATCATTTTGCTTCTTCATCATGTTCCTTAAAAAAAGTTTCCTTTTCGGTGCCTACTTTCTACTGTTTCACCAAACCAAAGCCTTTACATTGAGTTCAACGGTTACTTGTAAATAGTTTCCCTTTTTAAGTGAGAAAACTCAAGCTCAGAAAAAGAAAAAGAAAAAGAAAACTTAATCTAACTTATACTACTCTCCCCTACACTGAAATTTAAGATTCTGACCAAATAACAACCTACTCGTGCATCGCGTGAATTTATTAGGAGGATTCTAACATGATCCTTGCCATGCTTTGGTGCGCCAATGTACCGTGCATTTTACTTACGATTAGACTCATTAGAGTGAATGATGCTTTTTAGTTGATTAAATAAGAAATAAACACTAGTGCAATCCGAGAAGGGTTAGGATAGATAATCGCTTGCCGTCAAGTTTTTGTCTTATACCTCATTCAAAATTAAGTCGAAGATAATGGAACATAAATTCGGCACTTCAAATTTAAGCTTTCAATTTTTGTTCTTAATTATTATATCACATATATGAAGAAAATTTGAAATATTTTTTAAATCTAATTATGTATTGACCCATCACTATTTCTTATAAAATTTTCTGCTAAGTGAATTCATATATATGATATTAAAGATAAAAAAAAGTGATAACAGTAAATGCAATATTATTAAAAATAAAATAAAATTAGTGGACTAAATGATTAATACTAAATTAGTATATAAAACTTATAAGTGTGTGTCGTTGTGTCCTTTTAGTTTTTAACATTATATCTTATTATTAAGATATATTTATAATATAAAAAGTTTTTTTTTTTTCTCTTTCCACGTCAACTGAAATGACTAATGAGAGAGAAAAAAAAAACTTTACATATTATAATTATGTCTTACTGGTAAGATATAATGTTAAAAACTAAAATTACAAATTATTTCCCTAAACTTATTCTACGGAAGGATAGACTGAATATCTGACAAATGACAAAATAAAACTTAGAATCGAATTTAGGATATAATGCTCTTTCCCATGATGGCATGGAAAAGAATCGAATTTCTCAAGGCCCTACTGTGTTGGTCGGTGGAGTGTCACGACAATGCACAGTTCCATCAAGCACTTTCAATTAACTTAGAAGTCACCACAGGAATCTCAGCTAGAAAGTTCCCAACCTTTGTCCCAAAGTCACGCTACTAATACCCTTCCTCACTCCATCACTCACTACTTCATTAACTAGAGTGCCTTTTCTCTAGCCACCTTATTCAATTACCTCAAGGACGGGTACCTTCACATAGCAATAGCATTGCCAAACTTGCACAAAAAATGGAGGGTAAGGATGAAGATGTGAGAGTAGGAGCCAACAGGTATAGAGAGAGGCAACCAATAGGAACTGCTGCTCAGGCTCAAGATACCAAAGACTACAAAGAGCCGCCTTCAGCACCTCTCTTCGAGCCTAGTGAGTTGTCATCATGGTCTTTCTACAGAGCAGGCATAGCAGAATTTGTGGCCACGTTCTTGTTTCTTTATATCACAGTTTTAACAGTGATGGGTGTGTCCAAATCCAACAACAAGTGTTCCACTGTAGGTGTCCAAGGCATAGCTTGGGCATTTGGTGGAATGATCTTTGCTCTTGTTTATTGCACTGCTGGCATCTCAGGTAAAACTCAAACACAATAGTTCAATGATATTAGTGTTGGGATATTTACTGTGACGAGGTTACATAAGAATTGGTAATAGTCTAAGTAAACACTATATAAGTGGGAGGGAAAATAAATCTAATGTTTTAAGATTTTGAATTGAAATATAGTATCAAACTCAGTTATTATATATGTCAGACCCATCTATTATGATTGATATAGCTTAGGTTGTGGTCCCCGCCATAGACTTCTCGTGACCCGTTGGAAACAATAGGTAATGAGTCTGAATTTTGGGGTTGCCCATGCACCTCGGAAATAGATCATTGCATGTCTTTTCTACATTTTTTATTTTTTTGAGTCTCTTAAACCGGTTCATCATTCCCGGTTCGAGCAGTATCGAATCTTATACGAGGGACGGTTCTCCCAAGACTATTTTTTCTATTTCCAGAGCTCGAACTCGAAACTTCTAATTAAGTATCGAAACTTCTAATTAAGTAACATAAACTTCTTATCACTTGTGCAAAAGGTGTTTGGTTTAGGTATTTTTTTAAATACATCATATGATGTAAAAAATCTCATTCATTCATTAATAGATCAACGGTTAGTAATTAAAATAACTATTTTATTTTGTTAGTTTAATGAGCTTTCTCATTATAATTGTAATTATTGATCTGTTATGAATTACCGAAATGTCTCACATGTGTATCAATTCCCACCCTATAACTCTATAAGTACAAGTAGTCACATCTATAAATTTAGGAGTAAATACCCTTTTTGGTCCTAGCAAATTTCACGATGCCTGTTTTAGTCCCTAGCAAATAAAAAGGCTCATCGTGGTCCCTAAGAAATTCAAAATGGAACCATTTAGTTGAAATCGTGGTCTCTCACAAATTTAAAAAAGACTCATATTAGTCCCTAAAAGAACTAAAATGAGTCCATTTTGAATTTCTTAGGGACCACGATGAGCCTTTTTATTTGCTAGGGACTAAAGTAGACATCGTGAAATTTGCTGGAAACCAAAAAGAGTATTTACTCTAAATTTAATTAACTACCAATATAATGAACAATTCACTAAATTACTAGTATATATGGACAGTGGAGTAATCTCCTTTCAATTTTGCCTAATATAGCTTGTGTGGATTTGCGGATGCAGGGGGTCACATTAACCCAGCAGTGACATTTGGCCTGTTTTTGGCACGCAAGCTCTCTCTAACTAGGACAGTATTTTACATAATCATGCAGTGCTTGGGAGCTATCTGTGGTGCTGGTGTAGTTAAGGGGTTTCAACCACACCAGTATGAGAGGCTAGGTGGTGGTGCCAATACTCTAAGTAAAGGATACTCCAAAGGTGATGGCCTTGGAGCAGAGATTGTTGGCACATTTGTGCTTGTTTATACTGTCTTCTCTGCCACTGATGCCAAGAGAAATGCTAGGGACTCCCACGTTCCTGTAAGTAAAAATGTTTCCTAATATTGCATCTTCTAAATTAAAGTTTCAGCATTGTAAAGAGCTATTAGTTGTGTTACTCTGATGACAAATCTAATTATAAGCATCTCAATGGGTCAGATTTTGGCACCATTGCCTATTGGTTTTGCCGTTTTCCTGGTGCATTTGGCTACAATTCCTGTTACAGGAACTGGTATCAACCCAGCTAGAAGCCTTGGTGCAGCCCTTATATACAACAGGGACCAAGCTTGGGATGACCATGTGAGTCTTCTTCATCCTTAATTTTGTTTAGACTTTTCTTTTTCTTTACCGAAGCCTGGAACACTGGTAAAATCGTTCTTTTGTATTTTGTAAATATACAAGAGTAAGGTTGTGTATAAAGATTATCCTCATTTCATCCTGTTAGTGGAAGTTTAACGTGAAATGATTTTTTTCTTTTCCTTTACTGTTTCTTAATTTCACTTGGATTATAAATGTATTTTATCTATATTTAGTAGTAGTACTAGTAGTAGCAGATAACAATTGACTGTTGTTAAGTGAAAAAGTTTGAAATTTCCCACATTATATTATTTTGGTGCAGTGGATTTTTTGGGTAGGACCTTTCACTGGTGCAGCACTTGCAGCTTTGTACCATCAGATAGTAATCAGGGCCATACCCTTCAAGTCAAAGTGATGCAACATTGAAGTTGAAGCAATGCCTAAAAAGTAATAACTAGTTGAGTCCAAGAACGGATTCTCACATAAATAAATGTTCCTATCCTTTCCACTATGGATTTTCTACCTGTCTCGCTAATTATATATAATTTATCTGTTCAAAACTTATCTATCTACGTGGACATGCTATCGAACTTATGGAAATGGTGATATACATATTTGCTCAAGTATAAGTAAATTGTATAATTATGTTATGGTATTGAATAACCAGCCCTCTGTTTTTTGCAATTTTTATATCTATTTACGGCCCGTACGTTCATCACAATAATTCAGATGGCTCAGTTGGCAAACTAACAACAAATCTTAATTATTTTGTACAGAATTTTTATTTTTATTTTTTTTGATATAAATCAATTTCTTCTGATGAATTATTTAAGGGAAATGTGAGTGTCATGTTACATGACACATCTTGTGTCATATCATAGACATAAAAATGTGGGATACACACTTTTATTTTATTCTTTATTTATTTTTATTTTCAGTGGGACTTGTGTCTATGGCATGATACAAGATGTGTCATATAACATAACACTCACATTTTTTATTATTTAATCAAATTACAAAGAAATAATGATGTTCGGAATGTTAAGTATGGGAACGTATGTACTTTGGTGTGATAAACTAGTGTCCGACTACGACTTCAGATGCAATGCACAAACGTTTTCTTTGGTTTCTAAAATAAGGCCAAGGCCCAGTAATGCAAAAAGGTTTATGGTCTCCATGGCACAAACATTAGAACATTTTTTTTTTTGGTCAAAGAGTTACTTGCTTAGGCATAAAAAATGGCAAAAACGAAAGGAAAATTAGAATATATGCATATGAATTTACCATGAGGGAAGCTGCACAAAGTCTGGTCCTGGTAAAACCGACTTGAGATTAGTTAACTGGTCAATGGATTTCAGTATTTAACCACTTATAATTTATCATTTGTTTTTTAAAACCATAATCAGAAATTTATCAAAATAAAAATTTAACTGTATTTACAAACTTAGTAAATAAATTATAGATTTATTAAGAGGGAAAATATATATATAATCTTCATTCAAAAATCAATTTGTGATTGTAGGTTTATTCTTTACTAGTAGATTATCGATGATGACGTATTTTTCATTCAGAAGACTGATACACAATGTGTTTGATCTACCAAAACATGAGACTTTTTTAATCATTGTGTGCCCTTGATTAATAAAAAATTATCACTTTGCCCCTGTATATACCAAAACATATCACACATATGTCCTTATCTAACCACTGACACCGTAATATACCATGGTATATAGCCAGATACTTGAGTATCTTTCGAAAAAAAAATCACTACTCAAGCACGTAGGTGGCCTACTCGGGTATTGTTGATAAATTGAAAAAATTCTTGAATTATTTACCCGGGTATCGAGGGGATACCCGGGTAGAATTCGCAGATATGATTTTTTTAAAACCTAGCAAGTCATTTTTTCAGACACATAAATGATACCTGGGTAGAGCTGCGAAAAAGGAGAAAAATTTGGTGCCTTCACCATACACTCATTGGACAAACTTTCTTCCTGCACCATCATCCGCACCACCGTTCTTGCCTTCAATCGATTGAAAATGTTAGAGAATAATATAAATTATTAAAAGACTTTCACCCAACACCTTAAGGTTTTGGGTTGAAGTGGTTCTCTACAGAAAACAAATAAAGGTATTTATTTTTTTAGTTTTTGATTTTTTATGAACTCTAACCAAAATGCATTTTCAAATTCAATGTACTAATTTTTGTTTGTGGGTACCTTTCAAGTGTCCAAATATAATTTAATCTTTGGTTACATTTTGTATTTTGCTAGTGGTTGGACTGTTAGCCAATGCACTAAGGTGGTGTTTGGTTAATGGGTTTTTGACAAAACCCAATGCAAATGAAGATAGCATTTTGGAAAGCCAACGTTTGGTTCATGGAGATTTGGCTGAATACCTAAGCAAAATGGATGCATACCATTTTCAATTTACTGCCATTTACCTATGCTTCTGCACTGTTTAAAAACCCAAAAAGGAGGTGGTTTTTTTCAAAGAAACCCAGCTTTCCAGGTAGCGTTGCAGACGGGACATACGGGTTGTAATTTGTTTTGGTTGTTTTGGTTGCAGACGAGCGTTGCAGACCGGGGCGTACGAGTTGTAATATGTTTTGGTTGTTTTGTTTGTTTTTATTTGTAATTTGTTTTGGTTGTTTGGTTGTAAATTTTATAAGAACAAAGGTATTTTCGTCATAGTACATTATTTCCCCATCTATATTTTATCAAAAGCCAAACATAGACTTTACAAAAGTTATCTAATTTCTCTAGTAAAATTTTTTCATACCAAACAACTTTTTTTACATTTTCCTATCTAACTCACTTTTTAGCCATTTCCCTACTAATCTCATTTCTCTATCATTCATAAAAAATTTCCTTCAACCAAACACCACCTAATGGATTTCTGGTTTAACCAATTAAATCGAATTTATTTAATTTTTTTAATAAATATAATAAACTGTAAAATATTTCTCTGATTATACAATAAGTCCTAGATCGAAATTGACGTATTAATAACATCATCATGGACAAATATTTGTGCTTCTTAACATAATTATATGAATATGAAAACTATGAACTCTTAAAATTTTTAATCATGTTCTAGATTTATGAATGTTGAATATGAATTTTATAGTAATTTATATCACAATATGGTATTGATATTGCATAATTTCTCAAGAATAACAAATTAAATATAAAATAAAGTAAGTTTGTTTAAAACAATTGGACAGTAAAATGATAATGGATGCAACCCAAAGGATGTTCCATACTAAAAAGAACAGGAAGAAAGCCATGAAAAAATATAAGCTACGATTATACTAATTAAGAAAAAATACGTTATCTTGATTAAATTATTACTCATATGATAAAACTTGTTGTTGATATATAATAGAATAAAAAGAGAAGAATATAATTTATGAATATGAAAGATGCATTTTACATGAAGCGCTAAAGGAATATTTATATTATAAGATTGAAGTATGTAAAATTAATTAAATCGTAATTCAAATTCAAATTTTTCTATAATTAAATCTTAGTCAAATCAACATAATATAAATATCTAAGGTTTTTGGTGCAATTTTATAGCACACTTTTTATTGTGCAAGTAAATGTTTTAGGTTTAGAGTTTTAGGCTTTGTTCAGGAACTTGGAGAGAAAAAGGAAAAAAGGGATTCAAGAGAGAAGTAGGGAAAGGAAAGGAATAGAAATAAAAGGTATTTTCTTCCCTTGTTTGAAAATTAAAACATATAAAAAAAATATGAACCAAGAATAATGATGCCATTATAGCAATCCGATGCTATTTTCAAAATAATATTAACAATGCCACTTTATATTTATCGAGATTTTGACTATATTAAATTTTATGTTTGTGTGTATAACGAAAATTTCCAATTATGGAAAACCGGAAATGCTTGTGTGTATATCTGGGGTATATGATCATCGATTATTTGTAGAAAGATTGAATGACGTTACGGGTTAGGCATACATATAATCTTAATGGAATATAGAATGGCAGATTATGTTGGTGAAGCTGACGAAAAAGTACAAATTATTGATTATTTACAGAGCATTATTCATGTAACTATATAATTCCATGGCCATAATAAAAAGATGCGACAAACTAGTAAACGCTATTATCAGGGTGGAGTTTTATGTTTTAGGCTTAATTGCCTAGCCACAAATTCGGATATTATATTAAATTGTCGAACACATCAAGTTCCGAAATCTAGAAAAATTTGTGCACCAATGTTAGGTTGGAGGAAAATTAAGACATTTAACATATATGTGCTTTAAATTTGATATTCGTTTTTTGCGGGTGATGCACGTCGTTGTTTGTCCCTTATAGACGGCCATTTATTAGCCCCAAATGTGAGGTTCCCCTTCTTATGGATTGGCATACGTTCCTTTTGGCCATTCGGCAGAGAACAAGTGTTAGGAACAGGACTGGAAATTGCAGTTTATATAAGGGAACTAAGTATTATTAATGTTCAATCGTGTTGTGTACCCAAAAAAAAAAATGTTTAATCATGACGTTATTGCTTGGTCATGGATGGCTCAAAAGTCAGAAGATATTTTCGAAAACAATTTGACACAAGATGTTTAATAATTTTTCACGGGAAAAATACTCAATTTTTTTTATAATTGATATGTAGCACCGATACGACACGCGACACGTGACACGACACAACACGACACTCCGACACGTCAATCTTAAAAAATTATGAATTTCGACACGTTGGGACACGTTTTAATATTAAATAATATTTTTAATTTATATAGTGTATATTTTATTTAATATTTAATAATTTAACAAAAAAATAAAACTGAATTAACGATACCCATTAATACGTTCTAAAGATGGAAGCTTTAATCAAAAAAATAAGAACTGGGATGAGAGATATATATAATATCAGATAGAGAGATCAAATCATATTAGAGAAAGATCAGAGAGAAGAAGATACAACAAGAGCGTGATAGGAATTGATAACAATGATGCTGAGATGATCTCTTATCTACTTAAGGGAAAAAAAAGACAAAAAGATAAAATTGATATGATCAGGTTAAAGCTTTATTAATATATTTTAACTTTTAAAAATAATAAATTCTTTTTAAAAATTAAAAAAAAATTACAAAAATGCCATTTGATCGTGTCGGACACGGTCAAATTCGCGTGTCGGATTGGTCAACGTGTCGGAAAAAGTCAACCGCGTGTCCGACACCGTGTTGGAGCGTGTCGCCGTGTCGGAGCGTGTCGGACCCAACTCTTCCTGTTTTTACAAGTGTCCGTGCTTCCTTATACATGTATGCATTTTGTAGGGATTTTCCTATTATATTTTGGGGCAATACTTCTCTTATTTCATATAACAGAAATTTTTTCTCCAATTGAAACAAGAAAGTGGGCCCACAGGCTAAAAAAAAAATGCAGCCACATGTTTTTATATATCTATGACATAAGATAGTTTTTTCATATGGCTAAAGAAAATAATTTTTTTATATTTTGATATTTATCTATATGAGTTTTATATTTATCATATAATATGAGAAGAAATTTTTTTCTAAACTCCCTTCGATTTTTGTGCTAAGATAGATTTCACATATGACCTTTTCTAACATATAAATCTCATATGACTTTTGTCTTTATA